GTGTCTTCTACATACAACAGGGAAGATGAACCCATGAAATCTCAACAATAAACCTGTACACAAGATCTGAACAATGACAACACCAGTTGTCATGCCACTATGGATGGGGAAACTATCACAAGGGCCTGCCCCTAGAAGAACAGCTTTAGGCATTAGTAGTTGTCAAGAGAGGAGCCATCCGTCTTCTCTATGGACAAGCCCCTGACAGGTTATCCAGTCCCAAGCAATCGTCCTTAAACGCAAATACATTTAAGCAACACTAAGTAAGCTCAGCAGATTGAATTTATAAATATTATATATATATAAGAGATAATGAAGTTGAAAAGGAATGGAGGATATCCAAGACATTGGAGGGAGGTACAAGAATGAGAAACTATATAAATATAGCACTCATATATAGAAATCCTCAAAAGAAAATTAGGAATAAAAATAAGAGGTAAAGTCCTAAATCTTATTTTAAATTAAAAATAAAGAATTTCAGAGTCATGTATTCTATTTTTAGCCTGTGTGAGTGGGGATCTGCCTGCTAGAGTAATCCCCAGGGAATTCTCACCTCCTTGTACTGTGAGTGCTCAGCAGCCTGGAGCCTACCATCTCTACCCTTCCCTCTGTGCCCTGGCATTACCAGTGTAGCTAGATCATGGGAGGAAGAAGGAGCATGGGTAAACTCCAGCCTAACAGGTGAGAAAGTCCCTGTAGACGGTCATGTATCTGCACTATAGTTTATCCTGGGAAGTCCTAACAGGTGAGAAAGTCCCTGTAGACCGTCATGTATCTACACTAGAGTTTATCCTGGGAAGTCCATGGGTGCTGTGCAAAACTACAAACTGGGAAACTAAGCGAAGTGCAAACTTTTACATCATAGCACGGGATCCTATGAAAAAGGCTGTATTTCAGAAGTCACTTGGGAATCACTTTACATGATAGAGTTGAACCACTAATTATTACCAGAAACCGTCCAAGGGAGAAAAGAAATGATGATAGACTTCCAGATTTCCAGGTAGCCATTATCTTTTTTTCTTTTTTTTTTTTTTTTGGCAAATTCAACTGTCAGAGGCTGAAGTAGTTTTAGTGAGAAAAGCAATTGCACTATATATTTTTCTATGTAAATGTAGGTTTAGTTGTGCTATCTGGAAAATTATTATTGTTGGTCCATCTGGTAAACTATATTGAATAATAAATAAGAGTAAACAATTATTCTGTCAGGATAATAATAATTACTTAGTACTGAGGAGAAGGAATACAACCCTTAGATTTTTAGAGCGCTGTAATACACCAGGAATACTTTGGGAACGATTTTTGTTTAGCAATTATAGCTTTAACGTGATGCCAGGTGCTCTGCTAATTATACTGATAATTAAGTTCTTGTGCTCAAACGACTCAAGGAAAACAATAGGCATGTATGTGCAAATCCTTGGATCCACTCACTTGTGGTGCGATTTCAGATCAGGTTCTATACCTCTTACTGAGCAGCCTTGGTCAGAGGGGAAAGGGCGGGACTCTGGCTACTGCTTTGCATGTTAACAGGGCCAAAAGGGAAAACCCACAAATGCTACAGAGAGCTAATTGGAGCCCTTAGTAGCAAGTCTACAGAAATAAGGAGCAATGGCTGCAGAGCTTCCGACCTGGAGGCCTCGGTGGAGGAAACAAACTCTGAACTCTGACCTTGGAAGGGTATGGAGTCTAGCCCCCATTGGCCTAAAGGGGCCCATTTGCTCCTGAGTGTGTTTATTGACCCTTGGACTCTCCACTGCTGGTGGGATTATACTTATTGAATCCTCTAGTGGCCAAACCCACCCAGAGGATATTTGAATACTGTTTGCCCTGCTTGATCAGTTTTCCCTGTTGGTATTTGTGTTCCATCCCTTCCTCTTCGTTTGACCTCTGCCTTCGTGTGAGTCTGGTCACCACACCCCCTCCCCCCCCACAACCACTGCATTTAATTATCTCACGAAGTTCTCTTTCTGACCATCGTCTTTGTTTAATGTTTCATCGTCTATGCTTATACAGTATATGGAAGGCAGATCTATCTATGTGTATTTCTTTCCATCCTAAATTTTCAATTTTAAAGCTGGGAGGGAAGAGCTATCACAAGGATTTCTTAATGGAATTGAAATCTGGTAATTGGTGTCAAATTTCTCCTGCTAACTGTATTTCCCAGTGCTAGCTGGACAAGAGAAATTATTCATTCTAAAATTCTGGTGTACAGGCTCCATTCATTCCAAACCCATTAAAACAGATGCTCTGCAATCGGGTAAAAGGTGGAAGGATGTTTCAAAGACTCCTCATTAGGAAGCCGCATCCAATAACAGAAGGTAATATCTAGAAATATCTGAAGTACAAGAGGCAAAGAGAACTCAGTTACATATCACAGAGGGCCAGGAAACCTGAATTCCTAGTGAATGTAAAAGCCCCTGGTTCCCAGGACCCTAACTCTTCAGCACTGGAGGAGAGGAGCTGAGACAGTGAGACTCTTGTGATGGCAATGAAGGTTCCCTCAACAGACACTGTCATCCACCTGTGGAAGTCTTCATTGACACCAGTTCTCTGACCAGTAAAACAGAAACCACTTACTTTGGGTGGTTTCCTAGGGATCTGGAGTTACTGAATTGTAGAAGGAGAGGCTCTGGAGCTTGCAGTCAGTAAATGGAGGAACCATGTCTGTCCCAGTGAAAGAGGCATGGAAGCAGACTGCCTTCTGTCACCAAGGCAAGGGATGATTCACAAGGCTCCACAGGTATGCAGCACAGAAGGGGACAGACGTGGATTAGGCTGTGTTGTAGTTATGGTTTCTGTTGCTGTGAAGAGACACCATGACCTCATCAACTCTTACAAAGGAAAACATTTCATTGGAGCTGACTTACAGTTTCAGAGGCTTAGTCTATTACCCTCATGGTAGGAAACGTAACGGCGTGCAGGCAGACACGGTGCTGGAGAAGGGGCTGAGAGTTCTCTATCTTGATCCACAGGCAACTTGAAGTGGGCTGACTTGAGCTTCTGAGACCTTAAATTTCACCCCTAGTCACACATCTCCTCCTACAAAGCCACATCTCCTAACAGTGCCATACCCTATGGGCCTACGGGAGTCATTTTCTTTCAAATGACCACAAGCTGTAACTCTCAAAGGTCTGCCTGTAGTGGAGACATCCATCAGATAGACTACGTATCCCAGAGATCCACAATGTTTCCAAACAGTACCACCAGCTGGACACCAAGTATTCAAACATATGAGCCTCTGGGGAACAGTTCATTTCACATTCAACCCAGAATGCCTGCACAGTTTCAAAAGCACCATTGGAGTGTAGTTAGTGAACGTGGTCTCTGTGAATCAAGTTAAATGGTAACCAGACATGCAGATGACAATTGAGAATGTTAAGAGATGTATTCTTCCCTCCAGCCTGGTCCCAGAGCCATGTCTGTCTCAAATGAACACACAGGATGCTATATTATGAAGCTGTTGGCTACGGTTTCTTAATGGCTAGCTCTGACTTAATTATTAACCCATAATTACTAATATATATTTATAAGCTCTTATCTTACCGAGAACGCCAGACTTGTGCCTTCTCTTCCTGGGATCACATGGCAACTCCCTACTCTCGGCTACATTTCCTAGAATCTTCCTCGACTCCTACTCCCACCTACCTTGCTTTCCTAGTGGCCAACAGTGCTTTATTTATCAACCAATAAAACAACATATGCACAGAAGGACCTCCCCCATCACAGGTGGAAGTAAAAACTAGCAAAATAAGAAAGGGAAGAAATGGAAACTTTAAGACTGAAATAAAAGAATTAAATGTCAGTTGGGAAGGTCAAATGAACAGAATCAAAACCTCAAAAACATAAAAGAAAACAAAAAAAGCACAAAACAATTAAGAGAAAATAACCTTAAATTCAAAAAATGTAATTCAGAGATCTATATAATTGCAACCATAGTTGAACATTGTTTATATTTCTATTTCTAAGCAAAATTTTACATGAGGAATTCTCTTTTTTCCTTTGCAGCAATAATTATATAAATGAGGGTTTCATATCCCACTGAGATGTTGAAAAACTGGTTCAGCAATGTCACTTTAAATTTCTGTGTGGTCACTTGACAAATTATTGGTAGACATGGACTCTGAACACACGTTGACTGGACACCAGGTCTTTGTTGGTGGTGTTGCTGTTTTTCCAGGCAGGGTTTGTCTGTGAAACAGCTGTAGCTGTCCTGGAACTTAATGTGTAGGCCAGGCTGGCCTTGAACTCACATAGATCTTCATGCCTCTGCCTCACTAGTGCTGGGCTTAAGGGGATATACCACCATACCCAGCTTCAACACAAGTTCTGAGCAACTAAAATAAAGGGAGCACAACCCGAGAAGAAAGAGTTAAATTAAAAACTTGCTATCTCTCACAAAAAGTAATGATTATATACATAAGGCCAAATTTTCCCCCTACAAAAGGCCTAAATCTGGAGAGTAAGAGAACTCATTATAAAACAGAAAATTAATTAATGAAAAGAAACGAATTCATTTTCTGAAAATACTTTTCAACTTAATTGGTAAAGAACCCTACATCGGGCCATAAATCTAAAGAGCCTATATACACCCCATCCCCCAGATCAGCATTATTTTATTCAAATAAATGTGATTCTAAAGAACAAAATTAATTAAGATACTGAAATCTCAACCAAAGTCACCTCAGTAATGCGTTCCCTGCTGACAGCAAGGCTTGCTTGCGAGCCGATGTTTGCTGCCAAAGGTGACTGCCAGCCCTCCAATCTGCCTGCCCCTCCCACTGCCGCCCAGTCCAGCCTTCGTGCCAGCCTTGCCACCCTCACTTCACGTCCTAGTCTTTGTTTTCTTTACTTCGGAGCCCTCGCCTTAGATAATTGCCCGAGGTGACCTAAGGTGCTCAATGCGCATGCCCCCCTCCACCACTGCTCCGTGTCTGCATCTGCAAAGCTCTTTGACAAACTTGGAGTTGCGTCGTTTTTTTTTTTTCTCACGATCCCGTCTGCACCCGTCCTTTGCCTGCCCATCACGGCTGTGAGAATACACATCTTTTGGGAACAAGTCAAAGAGTCCTTAGGGTTAGCGATACGGCTCCTGTGGATGGAAACACGTGCCATGCCAGCATGAACCTGAGTTTGAATCCCCTGGATCACTGTTCCAGAGTATTGGGTCTATGACCGTAATGGCAGGAAGCATGGCGGCTGGCAGCAGGCAGAGTGCTGGGGCTGGAGTATTCACAAGCACCAGGCGTGGAATGCGTCTTTTAAACCTCAAGATTTTTCCCTCAGTGACATACCTCCTCCAACAAGGAGACACCTCCTAATCCTTCCCAAATAGTCCCACCTACTGGGAACCCGATATTTCAACATAAGAGCTTATGAAGGCCATTCTCATTGAATCCACCGCAACCGGCTAGCCTGGTTTATTCAACTACAAACAATGAGAGACTCTGTCTCAAACAAGGTAGGTGCGAGGACCAATACTATCCTTTGACCTCTACATATATACTGTGGCCTATGCGTGCCTGTGTGCACACACAGGTATACACACACCATACATATATGCAAACAAGATTAAAAAGTAACATAAATGGCAAAATAATCATTTAAATACAATGGTAAACAGATGTTAGCCAGATCACACCCATGATCTCAGATTTTGGGAAGTGGAGGCAGGAGAATTACAGTGAGTTTGGTGCCAACAGACTACATAGTGATCTATGTACATGCACAGCATTCCAACCATTGGGAACATGTCTTAAACACTCACACACACACACACCACCACCACCACCACATGCTATGAGAAAAGAGCAGCCCTTGTATCTTGAAAGCAGAAATAAAAGCAGCCACAAAACTACAAAAATAAATGTGAATGCACAAAATTATGTTACTAAAACACAGAGAAGTTCAAGATGAATAGAAAACTCAGTCCAAATAGAACACCAAAATTAGTGTGAGTTCAAGGGTTAAAATATACATAATCTCCATTGTTTTGTTTTAAATACATAAAATTGTAAAAAGTAATAAGAACAGAAAGAAAAATGCCAATAGAAACAGTGTTTCAAGGAGAAATGGATAAAGTTGAATTAATAATTGAGATTTTTTTTACCCCTTCTTCAACAGATTGCATATAGGAGATTAGTAACTGGCCTGTAACCTAATTTCCTCCAAATTTGTACAAATTGTACTTCTTCCAGCAAGCAGAACACAAGAATTTTCAATTCATTTCATCTTAGCCACCACTGTATTTTACAATGTTTAAAAAACTTCGCAAATTTGAGCACCAAAGGTGCAAAAATAATTATTTTAATTTATATTTATTTGTTAGAAGCACTATTTGGATATTTAGTAGCTAGACTTGTTTTGAGATGTAACCTAAATATATTCCTTGTTGATTTTTCTAGTGCATGTATCACATTTTTCTCTCTAAATTATCTCTCTACTTATAAAGAATTCTAAATTTTGTCTTATGTAATTCAGACCCCTCAAATTTTACCATATTTATTTTGTTTAGACAAAAATTTTTAAAGTTATTAGTTGATATGCTATTTTCATTTTTCTATGAGACATTTAAAAATTAAAGCCATCTTTTCTATTGAAGGTAAATTAGTATTTGTTCATATTAGATAAGCCAACAATAAATACCTTTTTCAAATAACAAATTTATATTTAGGGTATGAGTGAGTCAGATAATGAGCATGGAGAAGCATTTCCAAGATTCTGAAAGATGTCTCCCTAGAGGAAGACAGGCCAGATTGAGAACCAGCGCTGTGAATTAGCGAATCTTACCATAGACATGGTAAGCATGGGATAGGGCATAGTGTTGGAAAGAAGGCAGTGGAGAACATGTTTTTATATAAAATTTGACTGTGAGATGATGCGCTATCTCAGTAGATGAAGGCACTTGTCACCAAGCCTGATGACCTGAGTGTGGTCCCCAGGATGCACATTGTGAAACAAGAGAATGACCTTCTCAATTATATGCACTATGGCATGTGTGCTCATACAAATACACCCACAACAAATGAATGTGATTAAAAGTGTAATTTGGTGATGCGTAGACATTTGGTCTATACACAAACCTTCTACAGAAGGGAGTAAAAGCTTGGGATCACGCAGTAAATATGCTGGAAAGTCTCAAGGAGATGCTCACTTCTACAGCAACACTGATCACAGATATTTTCAATAGAGGAAGCTCTTTCCTACCACATTTGATGCCCTGACCTCTTGGGGACAAAGGCTTCTATTTGGTTTTCTGGCTAAATCAGCTATAAATTTCCTAAGGTTGAAAAGTGTTCTTCCTATACACACACGGATTTTGGTGTGAGATTTGTCAGTGAGGTGTGTGTGTGCGTTCTCTTCTTCATGGCTAGCTGCTCTGTGGAAAATTGATTCCCCGATTTGCCAGTCAAATGGCTGGGGCTACGACCCCCCTCTACTTTGAGATAATTAGGTTTAATCAGCGATTTTACAATAAATAATGGTTCTGTGAACTTGGGCTAGTCCCAAAGAGCAAAGTTTTACATGGTAAAATATGCAAAATAGTCAGATACATATTTGTGTATGGATATGAATATTACATGTGTATGTGTCAATTACATTTGTATATGTACATATGTATATGGTCGTCAAAAGATGCTTATGAAATATCCAAGGGTTCTGTTTGACTCCTATGACCTGGTCCTTACAGGAAGGAAAGAAGATGAACCACTTCGTGGACCTGTATTCACTGGAAACTGTGTGTTTTGTAGGATCACTCTTTTTATCCTAGGTGGAGAGATACAGGACTCCATCACATTACATGGAGATTTCCTTGTTTGTTTGCTTGCTTGCTTGCTTGTTTTTTATTTGTGTATTTTGAGAGAGAGTACATCTATATAGCCTACGCTAGCCTCATACTTACAATGTAACCTAGGCTGGCCTTGAACCCATTATTCTTCTTTCTATCTTAGTTTCTGAAGGATGGTTCTTAAAGGGATGTGCCATTATAGTGTGCTTCATTTTGTTGTTTGTCACTGAGCAATAACACATATATTCAATGTATTTGGGGGAGTAAAGTCTGAAAGACATTTTGTCATTCCCAATCAAAACGGGAAACGGTAAGATAGACTCTACAAAGGAGTCTTCTTTACCCGTGAGGGTGCTGATTGTCATCGAGCTCAGCACTGGATGATGGTGTGTGGGGGTATGTGTCCTCACTGTAGGCTTTCAGAAAGTACTTCTCCAGGACACCTTTAACCACAGCAGGTTCATCCCAGGCCACCTCAATGCTATATCCATTTATGCTCTGGGCTCTTGAGGGAGCTGGCACACTCTGTGGAGCTGGGAAAAGAATAAAGGAGAAGGGAGAGCAAGCGCCGGTCTATGGAGATGACTGTTCCTATTCTTCAGTTTTAATGGCAGCCGTAAATCAGACTCGACCATTAGCATAAATACAATTTATTAGAGTTGTAACTTTTCAGCATTGATTTAATATGACTGCACATCTTGAGCCATTCAGCTTGAGCTATATTTCAAAACCATCAAAACTCCATCGATATAACATTCTTTTAAGTTGAGACCAGGTTTTCCAAAAACATTGAGTGTATCTGATGTGTTTAAGCGACACTCATCAGGAAGGAGGTGCTTGGTAGGCAGAGAACAAGGGGAAGCAATATAACACATGCTACTTTGGAACAAGGTAATTAGGCTGTTATTATACACAGTGAGCTGACACTTTTATGTGGCCTTCTATGTAGTCTAAAAAAATTCACACAAGTTGTGTATGGTACTTGAATGACTGTCCCCACTTTCCAAATCCAATTGCCTTTTAAACGGTTTTCGAAAAGCATAGCTCCAGCAGGTATGACATATAGGGCCCACTTTTAATTGCATTTGTAGGGATAAGGGAGTTGGTGCCTGGACAGTTTTCAAAATCAGTTTTAGAGGCATTCTCTTCAGTGTATCTCGGAACAAAATGAGAACACTAATAGGAACTATGAAAGACCTGGCAAGCTGAGCCCTGATTTCAAAAATCCACAACCTTTAAGTATTTATTAGATATTTACACAGCTCTGATCAGTAACAACTTCATCACAGCTGACTGCACTGGGGACACAAAGAAAGAGCCCAAAGAACTATGTGGCAGGATGATGGATGGGAGCCCGCTCTAACTGCTCCTGGGCTTCTGAGCCCCGTCAACGGACGACGGAAGACAGCCGGGTCTCCCACATCAAAGTCTCCTCCCTGACTTTACTGCTCAAACCAATACAACAGGATAGCTTTAGGGGAAGCGAGGTGAACATTAAGGATGGGAGGAAGCACAGAGACCAGCATTCTCTGTGCACTTAAGACACTACAGGCATCTACAGGAAAAGAACACACAACCAAGCTGCCAGGAAAGAGCTGAGTGGAAAGAAGCTGATTTTATTAGTTCTGCAATGCAGTGCAGGGCAAAGATGGTACTGTCTACCAGATGGTCTTCTCATAAGGGACGAAGCAAAACCAACTCAAGAATAATTAAATAGTGCAATTATTCTCTAGCCCTTGGGAGCTGCTTGGTGTTGCGGTCAGATTGCAAATGTGAATTCATGATAGGATGTGGTGGTCAGATCATGGCTGTGCATTCGGAGCTCCACAGTGGGTCAAGGGTGGGAAGTAAGCTTTCTAGACACCCACTAAACTGCCTAAAAGCAGGCTTTTGTAGCATATTTTCTCAGAACATGGTGTATTATGAAATGGAAGTAGAAACAATGACTGTTTGATTCTGAACTTCCTATCCACTCTGAGGTTGAGAGGGGTTTAAGGTTGTGTTCACATCATTGTCTTGTCTATAAGTAGGTAATTATTTAAGTCATCTTGGAAGATTCTCCCTTCCTGGAAATTCTATAGGCAGCAAGCCTTGAGAGTTATTGCTAGTGATATATCTCAGTATTTCACGTCCTTAAAATGAAGGTCCCCTTAAGGGTGCCTGGGACAGTAACCCATTATTGAGAAACATAAAATAATGTCATGGTGTAAAACATGTTTTTGACCAATTAGTACTGGCTGGAGAAACTGTCTTTAGAGACAACACCCACCATTAATGTGCTAGACTTCCTGACACGCATTTGGCTGGTTCAGTGGACTATTATTATCTACCAAACTCTTCATGATCCATAGCTCCCAGTCATGCTCCCCTAAGAAAGACGGTGCCATCACAGTTTCAAGTACAAAGCACCTGTTGCTCAGGTGTCTGAGATCTGCTCTAACTTCTCATTGTGCCTCTTCTGAGTTAAAAACATTAAACTAATGGGAAACTTCTTGCCCTTAAGAGTCATCCTGTAATGTCATTGCTCACCATGCACCTGGTTCTAACCAAGTAGGAATTTTGAAAGCACTGTCTGTGGGACTCTAGAAAGTGCCTCCCATCTAATGGCACCCTCACATCTGTCTTCTTCCTTTTGGGGTACAAAAAACTGATGGAGGCTTTTCACTCTGAAATAGAATGGTAGCACCTCCTATGAAATCCATAAATGCCTTACTTTCTTTTCCCTGCATCTAAAGAGGAAAGAAAAAGGTGGTGTCAAGCACATAGCTAGCAGTTACAAACTCAAATGCAGCGGTACACTGGTTTTTTCCACAGCCATTTTCAAACTAAAACTGCTGCTTCAAGACACAGTGTTCATGTGCACACGCACATGCATATGTGCGCACAGTTACGTTTGAACATCAGCAGATGTTACCTGTGCCTGCTGTAGTCCCCGACTCCAATCACTGGACACTGAAACTCCATCATGTGAGTCTGTGGCCTGATACAGGTATTCCTGGAGATAAGTAAGATGTGGAAAGCTTGAAACCAGCTTCCCACGGACTCACAGTAGGCTGTCAGCAAATGGCAAACCCGCAGCATTTAGTTTAGAGACATTCCACGTTACCTGCAAAGGGCTGGAGCCCGCTCCCGTAAACACTCCGCTGGCTTCCCCAATAAACCAGGATGGAGTCATTCCCCCCACAGTTAACAGTACTGTCACTTGATAGGCATCCCTCCTGATGGACTCTGACAGCACGGCTGGACACAGATGCCAAGTTAACGACAGCACCCCGTGTAAATGCAACTTCCTTCATGCAACCACGGAACCCTAGCAAATAGAAAGGGATTCGTGTCACAGGAAGGGCCTGGGTCATTAATGACCAACTGTTTTTGTACTCTGCAGTTCTACCTCTTGGGGGAGGCTTTAGTTAGGGACAATGATTAAACTTTCAAGTCTTGTTTGAGAAATCTTTGCGGCTCTTGCTTTTCATCCAACTTAGTGGTTGCAGAGACATGTTTATAGAAATCACCTTGAAAACCTGCATATACATAGGTAATTGCGAGTCCTACCTTGGCACTTAAACAGGATTTCTTCTGCCTATATAGGACTACATTCTCTAAATTCCTTGAGCCAAATAGTAAAATTTAAACATTCACAAAAGATAGAAAGCAATTTCCATGCGTTCAGTTAACAGTGGAAAATTGCTGGTATAAATCAGTGGTAAGAGCCAAAGAAAATCCATGTAGTTGTATTATTTAGGAACAAGACAGACTATGAGGAATTCATGTAGGACAGCAGCAAAGAGAACATTGCTTCTGACATGAACCATGTGATCATTATTTCACATACATGTGGCATGTGGTTCCAGCTAAGCCACCAGAGAAAGGCAAGACGACATTGTTTTGCCATTTTTCTCTGGGCTTGTCATCTTGAATATATACCTTGAGTGTGCACTGCGTTCACATTTACACGAGCAAAGTCCATCCATCAGTGTCAGCCACATTATCCCCATGAACGTCAGGGAATTGTGTGTTCTACAGGCTGAGTTTGAAACACGGACTGCCACTGTTAGAGAACATGAGCAAAGGCATTTCTAGATTTCACTATGTGTATTTTAGAGAACAAACATAAACAGACATCTGGTCAGCCAAGGAACGGCAGTTTCTTTGAACGTGTATTGACAGACAGGGGCCGGTTCCATGAAGTTTCACATGACTAGTACCAGAAATAGGCACCAAATTAGGATGACAAACACGCACCTTCTTTCTGTACCACACACTTTCAAATTTGTAAGGTCCAGATACATGATTAGTCTTCCTAAACATTAAAAATGGCCAAATTGTTCTCTTCAGTGCTTAGCTGATATCTTATTATTTTTCTTATCATGTTAAGCTACAGCCTACTTCCTTTTTAACACCTTTGCATATTATTTCAATTCCTTCAGGCCTGACTAATCAATACTGCTAGTCTATCTTCAACACATGGTAGAAAGAAGTTGGTTGGACTGAAGCAGATGCAGTGGGGCTCAGTATAAAACGTATCTGCTGGAAAATTGAGAACCAAAATATTCCATTATTAACAGACATCGTTTCTGATGACACATACGAGGTGCTTCTCTGCACCCAATTTTCCCTCCCCATAAATGAGAGCAAATGAAAGGCAGCTTTCATGATGTGTCTATGCCACTCTAAGAGTCCCACGGTATTCTGGGGCTTCTGGTTGTCATACAGGGTTTTGTGGGTGGGGTGGTGATGTGTATGCATTGCTGTTGGTTCACAATGCCACTAAAATGGTCACAAAGCCTATGTGTGTGCGTGGGGGGAGGTGGTTGGAACAGTTAGGCACTTGCTTTGAGAATATGAGGAACTGAACTCTATCTTCAGAAAGAAAATTAAAATGCTGCCCATCCACAGAACTTGACAGGAAGATCCTATTGCCGAAGATACCACAGACGCTGATACAGTCCGTGGAGCAATCGAGCAGCTGCTGACTAGGAAAGCTTCCTCCCTGTTGCCTAGCTTTCATAGTACTGAAAGGTGGTATGTACATCTCTAGAGGAGAAAAACCACCCTCAACATCACCAAGCTATGAATGTTGCAAGCTAGGATAATGACAGGCCGTGCAAGACAGGCTGGATGGTTACAACAGTGGTGTGATTGTTATGGGAACAAACAATTGCTTTGTTATTAGATTCAAGGCCTGCTCCTGAGGAGGAAAGGTATGCCTGGTACTATAAGTCTGGGCCAGAAGCCATGGCTGGGAAGCTCGCAGGCCCCATGTGTGAACCTACTACTATTATTTTGCTGAAGTAATACTTAGTATCACTGTCCTCTCAATTTATGACTCTGCCCATAGATTAGTCCGGCTCTTACACCTCATCAGGGCAGCTTCTTTGCGCAGTGATTAACGCAGACACTCACAACTGACCAAAGTACAGAGAAAACAATGGCCATGGAAGGCTCAGCCATAAATGGAACCTTTATGTCACCCCCTTTACCCAAGGTTCAGGGGACATCATGGGAGGAAGGGTGGGAAGACTAAGAGGAAGAGGTCAGCGAGGATGGTAGCAAGACAACATCTTCTGGACAGGACAGCACAGGACTGATGTGTGCATGAACGCTCACACATATGTCTGCCCACAGAAGGCCTGCACAAGATCAAGCTGGTGCACATTCCACAACAAGGAGTAGGGCTCCCATGCCTCCACCCCTAGCTGAGCAGCTAGTGACAACTGGTGACCAATAGATGGGAAATCCATTTCCTTTATGGGTATAGCACCTGGTTGTTAGACCGCCCTCCAGTAAATGGGCCTTCACAGGCTGCACAAATTGCTCTTAGTGAGTTATTAAAATAAAAGTTTTCAAGGAACTGAAAAATGGAGAGTGACTTTCATAGGTGCTGGAGGACAGGAGTTGTGGTGAAAATGATCAAAATGAATTCCATATACTTATACATTCCTTAAAGGTTGAATACAAATATTATATTACAGTTTTTTTACTGCTTGATATTTTTGTTAGTGCTAGTAACCCCAGTGTTGGAGAGGTGGAGAAATCTGATCCCTGGGGTTTTCTGGCCAATCTAAACAACCAGAGAGACCAAGGGAAGCAAAGAGTCCTGCCCTCAAAATAAGTGAATAAACAAATAGATAGATAGGTGTTTAGTACCCAAGGAACAAAACCAAAAGTTGACATCTGGCCACCATATGCAAAGGCATACATGTTCACATGCAGACACAATGTGTACCTGGACATACATGTGCCCACATATACATACCCAATAAAGCTGGTTATGTATTTAAGCTCCAAGTTCATTGTGTTTAACTAAAATTTCCAAAAGTTAAAAATCTAATGACATGGAAATCGCTTCAATGCATGGATTTTGAAAGCCCAGAAAGGCCACAGATATGGTAACTGCCTTTCAATTGGCTCATGAAGGGAGTCTGAAGAGGCATGTAGGGGGTTTACAGGCATCAGCAGCTGAAGCAAAAGACTCTGGGGCCCCAGCCTGCAGGTGGTGCTGCTGAGCTCTCCTGCAGGACCGTGCTGTGTTTCCTTCAATTGGAACAGATGCCACCCCTCCATGCCAGAAAGGATGACTCAACCATTATTTCAACTCTGTGCCACCAAACACTCCCCAAGCCACTTCAAATCTTGGATGATTGTGACAATAAAAAGTCGAGAAAGGAATTGTTTTTGACAGTGGAGACTGTTTCTGCCTTTGTACAAAACAACAGAATTCCCTCCCCCTTCATACTCTTCCCCATCATCCTAACTTCTGAATATCTAGAAGGACAATTACATTAATGTCTAGAGAGACAAAAATATCATGAATATAACCACAGAGTAGATCCTAAGAGAAAGAGAGTCTAATTAGGAAGCATGGAAAAGGATGGAGGGAAAAAGAGTCAGGTTATTGAGAGGATCAAAGGGGATACATTAAGCAAATGTGACTCCATTTAACTACACGTGACTGCCTGTAGGCTGTGCCTCTATGTGGTGAATATTCTCTCAAGTAAGTATATATTCAGGTAAGACAGACCAGTGTGTCTCAAAGTATCCCAGTGATGGGGGAAGTCTATACATATGTTTCTCTTATTGGTTGATAAATAAAACACTGTTGGCAGATAAGGCAGGAAGATAGGCAGGACTAGGAGACGAAGAGAATTCTGGGAGAGGTAGGCAGAAAATGTCCATCACAGAGAGTCTTCATGTAGGCTGCCAAAGGAGTAACAGGTCTAGGCATTTTCTGGTAAGCCAAGACCACGTGGAAATACATAAATTAGGGAGCTAGCCAATAAGAAGCCCTAGCTACCGGTAAACAGTTTTATAATTAATATAGTGTCCTTGTGTTTATTTGAGGTTGAGGCTGTTGTGGGACCAGGCTGGCAGGAAAGAACCACCGCAACCCCCAAGTCAGAATCTCAGAGCACAGGTTGGGAGTGTCTTAGAACCTGGATTTTCAACACCATTCTGTTCCATTCCAGTGTACCTGGAAAGATACTGCTGCTGCTACTGATGGTGATGAAGAAAACTAATTTCAATTTCTTACTATAGTCCAACATACTTCACTAATTTATCAGTGTTGCAAACTTGGTGACATGGATAAAAATCTCACGCCAAAAAGCATAGTCTATGTATAAATGAAATATCCATCCCTGTCATAGACTTGTAGCTATCAAGGTAAAATTGTTCCCTTTGGGTCTATGTGGATGCTTTAAATTTCAGTATCTGCTCGCCACTCTATTCATTCACATCTCCAAGGTCATCAATTGTAGTGGGGTTAGGTAAACTTCTAAAGCCTAAGCCTGGATAAGTGGTTTGTTTTATCCAACACTGCCCACCTAAGTGTAAACAGGATGGAATATTCTCACTCAAGAAGACATGCCAGATTCTTCCTAATACCACAAAGCCTGGAAATCTAGAAAAGGTCCTATATGAATGTAATATTTTTAGCAGCTGCTACATCTTAAGTGCCTTGAAATGTCATTACTGTCTTAGACCCTGGTTATTCATTAACTTCTTGCCCAAAGTCTCTGTAAGGCGCTCCATATATTTTCTATTCAAAGTCATTTAAATCTTTATGTACTTACCAAATAGGCGAAGTCTGTTTTGTGGAAATTTTAACCATTCATGGTGCATGAATTTAAAAATGTACAGAGAACACTCTCTATATGAGAACATGCTTGGTCACATTCTGGAAGTTTCTGGCTTTCCCTAAGTCACAGAGTTGGAACAACAACAAACACAGTTGAAAAGAAACAGAGGCCTCACCAGGTAACCCAGGAGGGCACCAAAAGAATCAGGGGCCTTGCCACATAACCCAAGAGGGCACCAACATTGTCTTCCTTCTGCCTCAGCCTCTACAGTGCCAACATGATCAACTGCCTTTTAAAATACATTTTTCTAGTTAAATACTAACATTTGTCACTTAAATGCTGGGGTGAGTGTTTAACTCCTTTTCTTTTTCTGGTGGTTACTGATAATCAAAACTGCCTAATTTTGCACAAATATATCCGAAATTCAAGCAGACTCACTGTTTCATGTGGTTTTTTCTGCTTAAAAATCCTACTGAAAAATGATGGATATAATGAGCTCTGATGTCAGAGGTTTAAAAATATGACATTGCGGTATTTTTCTAGTTGTTCATTCATACCTGTATAAACTTCTATTTTTTTACTTTCACATGCAGATAATGATCAATAGTCAAAACTTCTAAACCATGCATATTTTCAAAGAAAATACGTATGTAATACATATAAAATTGATTTATGTGTGTGACAGTTTGCTGAAGATATGTAGGAATATATATGTTGAATATAAGTATGATGGAATATTCTTAGAAACAACACAGAAAATTGTCTGGGGCTGCCTGAGTGGTTAAGAGCACTGACTGCTCTTTCAGAGGCCCAGGGTTCAATTTCCAACACCCATGTGATGTCTTTCAGCCTACTCTAACTACAGTTCAAGGACATCTGATGCTCCCTTCTGGCTTCTAAGAACACTACATCATGTGATGTGCATCTATACATTGAGGCAAGATACAAACACATAATAAAAATAGACAAGCAAATCTTCAAAGCACATCTTTTTAAAAATTCTATTTGAAGAGATGTCCAGTGACTTTTTTTAGCTTAAAAGGCTCCAAGAAAAGGAAGGGAGGGTTAGCAGATATTATTTTAATACAAGTCTGCTGCTATATTTGAACCTACAGCACAACCAAAGCCTGGTGGGGCAGGGTCATGTCTGACGGTGGGTGTCTCTGGGGGAAGCTTACCTTGCTCCAGAGTCAAATGTCTGTAGGATTCCTGCAGCTCCTGTGGGATCCCGTCCACATAGACTGGTGAATTCACCTGCAGAGTCTGGGCTCCAGCCTGTGAGGTGTGCTCCATGAGTTCATTCACAGCCACAGACACCGTGGACCCTTCATTTTTGATTAGGAAGGTATTCCAGCTTCCATCACAATAGGTCAGTCCCAGCCAGAGATCCACTTGTGTAAAGAGAAGACTGGATTTCAACCGGAAGCTCAGTAGTCTGCCCTTCAGCTCCATCTGTGTTTCATATCCAGAAAAGCCAAGAGCCACATCAAAAGGCTACAGTGGCATCTTAGATGAGAGCAGAATGTCAGTTTCCTAAGGAAGAACAAGACATTTCCCCAAAGCACCTGGTAAACCACTCTGCTTTATCCTAACGAGAGTTGAAGTGATGGGGAATGAAATAGTTTGCAAGCTTACAATTGCCATGAAGAATGTTGAGCCAAACAAATTCATACCCAGTAATGATTATACTACACAGTATGGTTATGGAGGCACCAGCCTTTTGCCTAACGTAGTTTTACAGATTAAATCCTACTACAAATGACTGGCGAACTGGAGAACGGAGCACTATGAACTATGACTCCATTTTTGAGTTCTTAGAAGATGAGAAAATACAACTGCATGTATCAACTTAATTTGGGGGAAAAATTTGACAAGACAATAAGAAAATGAAATGTCAAGCTTGATGAAGCTTGTTTTAAATGGTTAGTGAACTCAATTTCAAATCTGTAAGAGATATTTTGATTCAGTGTTCCAGTTTTATTCTGATTCTCTAGCATAATTGCCTCTGTGTATATTCTTTTAGATTAATGCACCATTTTCTAGTGTCAGTATATTTTACCCAAATTTTCAGTGTGTGAGCAAAGCATTCATGTTTTCCCTAAAAATGTTACATGATCATTACTTTACCTACCATTTTTAAAATTTTGTTCTAGGTGTGAAATCAGCTGCCATAGTTGTTGGAAGTTTGAGGTCAGCATGTTAAATAAAATAAATTAAATCTTGATGGGAGAAGAATATGCCTTCTACAAAGGCATCTTTATGATGTATCCCCAGCAAGCAGGCTATACCATTCATTCAATTAGCACAACAACCATTTTAGGGAACACTGATGGCAAAGGGCCATTCTGGGGCACTCCTGCAGCCAAGACAGTGATGGGATACCACATCATCAGGGTTAGATGATCCACTCACTTCCCAAGAATCAAGGAAAATTTATGGGAGCTGGGATGATGGATCTATGGATGAAACACTTGCCAAGCAAGGGTAGGAACCATACTTGGGATCCATGGCCAGATGGATTTTGGCCTCCTGTATTTCCAGCATAGCACACAGTCCAACACTGGGGAGGAAAGGGTAGAGGCTCCTGAGAGCAAACTGGGTATTTGGACTGGCTGGATTAACAAACTCTGGGGTCAGGAAGAGATCCTGCCTCAGTAAATACTGTGGAGAGTAACTGTAGAAAGAAATTTGGCATCAGTCTTGGGGTTCCACTTGTACACAAACACATGTGCACTCACACAAGTACACCCACATACGTGTTCACACCCACACATATAAGCACACGTTCACACATGTGTGGACAACCTGCTTACACACAAGATTCAGAGCAATGCAAGATGCATGATAGTTCTACAAGCAGGGGGTAGATGGATGGGGGCCAGTAGGTTTAAAGAAAGGTTGTGAATCAGGTGAGACAGAGGAGACACAGGAATGGGAGGCACAGAGAGCATTGCTCAGGGTGTAGAGGTAGACCTTGGATGATTTGGAGTAACTTGGAAAAAGTTCACCTTTCCTTTACCTGACATCAAAAAGCTATGGTTTGTACTGACTTATTTTATACCAAGTTCATCTTCTTGGACGTAGGAAGCATCCATCAGAAATTGAGATCAGTAAAACATTGAAAGCCATTACAACAAGCACAACTACAGTGGTGATCAGGGAGTCTCTAAGCTTTAGTTCCTAAAGCAACTCATGAGGCCTGGTGCTCAAGTACTAGACACACCAAGTGCCGGTGAAGCACACTTACTGGTAAACTGCCATGTGGTACTTAAATATAGCCAGAAGCTGACTCGGAAGCAGGGGTTACCACATCCCATTTCAAATTAATGGGTTGTCCCACCCATTTCTGATGTAAATATTTGTCTCAAAGTGTCATCAGAACTCTTGTCTGAGGACAGGCTGGGTTGCCCTACTCTTCGACAAGGAGGAAAAAAAGGCCAAAGTAGGCCAACAGTGAATTTGCCATGTCCTTCGACAGCGAAGGCAAACTAGTCCCAAGTAGAGGCTACTCATCCCATAACAGAAGGTACTTACAGCAAGAAAGAGAAGCCAGACGTTGAGTGTGGGAAGCTTATCCACACAGAGAAAGCCTAACTGAGAACTCTAGTAGACTGCCTCAACTTCCCCACTCCGTCTCTGCCCTGTGGTCTGAGTACCATCTGCCCCAGCTTCCCTGCTAGGTCTCTCTGATCTCTGCTGTCACCAGCTATGATGACTTTACTTTGGTACTGTTCACTGCCCTTTACCTCGAAGTCTTGCCCAAGGACATCCTACTCTGATCAAGCCTTATTGGAACTCTAGCTGAAAACCTTACTGGGACTTTGCCAGGAGATCTCTGCCAGGGGTTTCCAGCACCAGGTTTGATGAGATTACTCATCTGTCTGTCTGTCTGTCTTTCTTTCTTTCTTTCTTTCTTTCTTTCTTTCTTTCTGCTGCTTGCTATTCATTCTTTTACTTTAACTTTCTATGTTCTTAATAGTATACCCATGGTAGATCATTCAGTAGACTGCTTAGACCTGTGAGTGGAAAGTCAAGGACATGTTATCTTTAATTTGACTGTGCTGGATTACCAGGGAGACCAGCAGACAGCCCTGTGTGTGTAGGTTAAGGCATTCCCAGGACTGATCATGACTGCTCTGACATCATCCATGGTTCAACACACTGGGTTAAGAGTCTGAACATAGGGGCTGGAGGGATGGCTTGGTGGTTAAGAGCACCTGCTGCTCTTGTAGAGGATTCAGTGCTCCCACATGGTGGCTCATAAACACAAGTTACTCCAGTTCCTGGGGAATGGTTTTTTACCTCTTCTTGACTCTAGTTACCTGCACACATGTAGTGCACAGACATACATGCAGGCAAAGCACCCATGCACGTAAATAAAAATAAATTGAAACATCAGGATAGATTATTATGAGATGGTGGTACACTGACTCGTGTTAGGGTGTGTGTTGTTGGGATTGTGTTACTGAAGGGCACCTGTATCCCTGGCCAATCCCTGTCTTGTCTCTGTCCACCCCACACCCCTCGTCCTTCATGTAGCCAAGGTCCATGATTTTCTCAAAAATGCCAAGAACTACAGAGAGAAATATCTGAATCTATGAGCCAAAATAAGCCATTTCCTTTGGATCCTGTCAGGTATCTGGTCAAAGTGACACAAAAGCAATGACTATGATACCTCTCACCCTTTTAGTGTGACTGACCCATGGGAGAGGGTTCACGCTATCACCACCAGAATGGCAGGTGAAGAGGCAGGCTTGCGAGGAGGGGCCATGCTACAGATGACACTGAGTTTAAAACGCCCAGAAAACACCAGGAGAAATGTTTCTGAAAGAGGTGAGACATGACCACACATAGATGTGGGATGGGTCAGTGAAGGGGAGAAAGTATTTATAATGGCTGTGCCATCTCTCCAGGGCTACACTCCATTTTGAGTATAGCATCTGACTGAATGACAAAAATAAATGCAATACCGTTACACATTCTCACTGCTCTCAGGGGAACTGCTCACAGCAGTCTTATTCACTATAGCAAAACCATGGAAATAACCGATGTATCATTGATGAGAGGCATATTACACAGTCCTGAAAATGGAGCACCTCCGTTGAAAATGTGAAAGATTTAGAATACTGTGGATAAACACAAATTCCTTAGAGTATGGTACATGCCACTTTCATAAATCTCAAAATCTGTAGCACTCATTCACTTATGTTAATCTAAGTTTAAAATGCAAACCAATATGAAACACAAAATTATCATTATAGAATAATTCTGGTTAGAGTTGGGGAAACAATAAAAGACATAAAAAGAGGATAATTGAATCCTCAGATGGCATGGTATGCTCAGTAGCATTCATCATATTGTGTTTTATCAGACATTGAATGAAATATGTAAAGTACATTTTGAAACTATATCAAAACATAATGAAGAGGTATTTTTCATGTATCAAGAAACTAAATTGGATTTCCTTAATTCTTAACATCTGTTCTGTTTTGTTCAATTCACAGCATTTACAGTGCTAATTGTCAGTTTAACAAATTATCTTAACCCTATGAGATATTTCACAGGCCTATAAAAATAAAGACTACTTGAGAGGGAAAAATGAAAATAAAAGTGAATTTAAAAAACTCAATTGTGTCTAATACTAACACACAGCTTATATCTTTCAAAGTTGGTCTCGATATTTTAAAATAAATTGAATTAAATTCATTAACATACAACAAGAAAATTCAGTCCCTCTTTGCTGTGAATGAAAAGAAGCAATCCATTTAGTTGGTTGGTTTGAAACTTCAGGGAAATCTCAAAGTCCTTTACAGCATGAAGGGTGTGTGATGGAAGGCCCAGGAACCCTTTAAGACAAGCGAGCATGTGCACACATCAGCATACTGCAGCTTCTGGGAAATGTACCAACTTTGTTTTAAAATCCCACAGAAGAATCAGTGGATGAGTGTCAAGATGACATCCCTCCAGCTGTCTAGCAGGAGGGGAGGGGCTTGAGATGAGCGCCTATCACTTTGAGAAGAAACAGATCAGTTCCTCAATCCCACGCTTGTGCATATCCTGCATGATACTGAGCAGCCTGACGAAGCTGTGACTGGACTTTGGGCTGAGACAAGCTAGGGCTGCCATCTTTAGTGGAAAATGAACAACATCTCTGTTGATCTGTTCTACACACAGTCTAAGCATTTTATAATCAGTCAACTGAAAGACAGGCATGGGAGGCTGATGAGGGTGTTTACTCCATGTCACACTGTTCCGTCCCAGGGCCACACCCTGAGGGTGGGCGTGGTGCCCAGAGGCAGGTGGGAAGGAAGGGACAGGTGCTACTGCTACCTCGCAGTTTTCTCCAGCCTCTGTAGCAGCGGCCCTAGTCGACAGCTGTCCCTCAGAGATCTGCTGAGGCCCAGTTTTAATGACAGTTTAATGGCTCAACTACACAATAAGGGAAATGGAGATGTTGAGTTAGTTATCTTAGCAATGGAATCTCCCTGGCAACAATTTTCACAGTAACCTGCGTGCTGACATCTGCCACTTGTGATAACTTCTACCAGTTTCATTTTAGAGTGTGATTTTGGTATTTTATACTGAAATAGTAGGGTGTGTGTGTGTGTGTGTGTGTGTGTGTGTGTGTGTGTGTGTGAACTTGATACTCGCTAGAGTCATCTAAGAGGAGGAATCTCATTTGAGAAAAATGCCTTGATAACATTGGCCCAGAGACAAACCTGTTCTCTTGAGTAAGAGTTGATGTAAAAGGACCCAGCACACTTTGGATAGTGCCACCCCTGGCCAAATTTCCCTGGGGCTCATACAAAAATCAGTTGAAAGAGCCATGAGGAACAAGTCAGTGAGCAGTGCTCCACCATGGCCTCTGCTTCCATTCCTGCCTTGAGTTCCTGTCCCGACTTCTCTCAATGATGGTCTACAGCTGCATGAGGACATAAATAAACCCCTTCCTTCCAAGTTGGTTTTGGTCACTGTATTTTATCACAGCAACAGAAACCTTAATTATGATAGGAGCTTATTTTATTAATGTCTTTTAAAAAGTCTTCTCCATTCATTTCACATGTATGATTGAATGTACTATCATCTATACCTATTATCTGTCAATTATATCTATCATTCTGTCTGTCTGTCTATCTATCTATCTTTCTATCTATCTATCCAGCTGTGTCTTTGTATCATATGTGTACCATGGCTACAGAGGCTACCTATCTATCTTTCTATCTATCTATCTAGCTATGTCTTCATATCATATGTGTGCCATGGCTACAGCAGCTAGAAGAAGGTGCCAGTTGATGAGCTGCCATATGGGTGCTGAATATCCAGGTCCTCTGAAAGAGCAAGTTTTCCATTCATGTGTCATTTCCAATGAATTAAGTCTTAGAAAAAATATTTACACATATCCTGCAATTATATGAACCTCACTTAATTAGTATATGTCATTTTGGCAAATGCCTAATGACTCTTTTGAATAGCAACAACTGGGTATTGACAAGGTAAATAGAACTACTGAAGGTGTTTTCAAAAAGGAAATGTATAAAAATTAAGATGTCTTTAGAAAATGAAACAATACCTATTCATAGTTTTACATACTGTAAATAGATTGTACTTAGTTTTGAGTATATTATGATGGTTAGTTTTAATTGCCAACTTGATACAGTCTAGAATCACCCAATGAGAGTCTCAGTGAGTGACTATCTAGAGCAGACTGGCATTTGGGCCCACGTGTAGGGGCAAGTTTGATTTAAGATAGTCATGTCTGATGTGGGAAGAGCTATCCCACCATGGGTGCTGCCATTCCCTAGGCTTGAGTCCTTGGCTGTGGGAGTGGAGAAGGTGAGCAGAGCAGAGAGCAGGCGTGGATTCGCTCTCTGCTCTTAACTGAATGTGACCACCCGCTTCGAGTTCCCACCATGGCTTCCCTGCAGGGACTACAATGTGGAATTGCAACCTGAAGAAACCCTTTCTTCCTTAAAGTTGTGCTGCTGGGCCACAGAGACAAAACTGGGACAATATACACTTTCGCTTGCTGTGAAACTCACCGCATCTCTTTTGGAGCATGGTGTGAGCCTCGTGGCAGCCCGCCCACAAATAGTCCGGTGTAGCCTCCCGTCATGGTGCTTCCATTCAGAGCAGCCGAGGAGCCTGTGGGAGAGGAGAGGAGAATGCCAGCTCTCTCAGGAGACTCTTCAGAGTGAAGCTCATCACACATCTTCGTCACCCAGTCCTCTCGCTCTGGCTGTAACCTCCTTGTCTATCAGGTGCCAGATAAGCCGACTGCCGTTAGCCCACATCTCAGCAGCTCCCTCCCTTCCTCTCCCACTCCAGCCTCCTGGTCAGTTATTAACATGTAAAATACACTGTTTTTCATATCCCCAGGGCCTACTGCCCAATGATCCCATGGTCCGGGCCTGATGTCCAGTGCTTCTTGACCCTAAAACATATTTCCTTCTAGACATTTCCATGGTTCCGTTCCTGGACCCGCATTTCTCTGCCCATATGTTATTAGAGAGTCTTTCCCAGTTGCTGTGGGTCAAATTTAACACTCCTCCCAACACATAAGTCTTTTGTGGCAAAGGCTCCATGTCATTAGCTGTGAGGTTCTAGGGACCGGGCTAGGGACTGTCACAGAGTGTACCCAGCATCCTCTGAGGGTAAAGTAGTCTGGGTTTTCCCATTTCTCTCAGGTTTCCATTGAGTTTAAAGTCATATCAACTCAGCTAACACCCGCCCGTCCCGATTCTAAGTCCTCATGGCTCTCTACCACTTTATACTTTATTGTCTTCTGTCCCCGCCTTCATCTAGACCATAACCTCTACAAAGCGCTGTTGGCTTTTGTTATCTGAGCACCTAGAACACAAGCAGAACATAGGAAGAGCCCATTGAAACCACTTTTACCCTCACAACTGCATGAAAACCTGCATCAATAGATGAAAATGGAAGATAGAGCCGGCTGGGGAGAGAACCACACCCAAACGCAACCACTGGCTATGTGGTGAGAGTCCTGCCTTCCCACTGCAGGAATGGGAGGGGTTAATTACATTTCTGGGCCTTGGTTTTTCTCATCTCTGTGTGTAGATACCTGCTTCCCTTGCTTGCCTTCTGGAGGAAAGGGGAATATCAGTAAAGTAATGAAAGGCCCTTGCAAGGTGTAGAGAATCCATGAGACGCAGGGTGAACCCTGGTGACTTCACTCCCATCTTGCATTACTGGAGACCTACCTGCATGAGAAGCTTATGGCCGGAGTTTACAAGCAGAAGAGCAAAGAGCAGCTAAGAGACAGATTTCACAGGGACTAATGTGAAACCGAATGAAGAAATCAGTGTGAAATTCACATGTGCAGATGTGTACACACACACACACACACACACACACACACACACACACACACACACACAACACAAATTCTTACCTGCATACTGTCCATCAAGAGAGATATGGCCAAAATCCTGATGCCTGGCCTCAATGATATCATGCCACTGTCTGTTTACCATGATCATCAGTTGTGGTAACTTCCACTAGTGACCCCTTAAGGGAATGAATGAACAAATAAATGAATGAATACTCACATTTAGATGCCAGTGACACCATATATTTTTTATAAAACAGTCCACAGATATCAGCATTATGATCCCAACCCAAAGCAGCCAGTCTTTCACATGGAAATGGACATACAGGTTGGCATCTAGTGATTGCTAAGAGCATCATTTGGTGTCATCTGAAAACCACAGTGACCAAGTGGAAAGACCTCTCCAGACTGTGACTCTCTGACATTGGCACTTCTATTCTGGGCACCTACATTCATATCTTAAGATTCATCGAGGAATTGTAAAGAAGAGAAGAATTTAAACCTGGGAAAAGTTGTGAATATACATTCTAAGGATAAACAAACATCAGGAAAATTAGCTTCACTAATAATTTCATAATATGCACTGTAAGAAGGGGTAGGAAATGAGTTGCATTAAGAGCATTTAGTGAACTTATGTGAGAAGTTATCTTTGGTTTTCAGTGCTCTGTACTCTAAAATTTAGCATCTATAGTTCTGTCTGGATAGTAACAGCACAGTGAGAAATGGGATCTTGAGTAGATAAGACCCAGGGAATGGCAGAGACCAAGAGGGAGGATCAGCAAGCAGGCAAGGGAAAAGAAGCAACGGAGAGAAAGAGTGAGCAGCCTGCCTAGCACGTTAGAGCCGCGTGAGCAGTTTCAGGACACAAATCAGAGTAGAGAGAAGAGACTCCATCTCCATTACCAACATTTACTACTGTGACTAAGATACAGATCTCTCCAATCCTAAGAAAGATAAATTCAATACCAAGGTTGGTTTTCCTGAGAAAGACCCAAATGTGAAGTTGATAAGCTAGTGAGAATTCTTAGAAACTATAAGCAAGGTTGGTTTGAATAGCACACATTAAAAAAAATAATTTGGAATTGGGGCTGATGAGATGATGGCTCAGAGGTCAGGATCACTGGCTGCTCTTGCAGAGGACCTGGGTTTGATTCTCAGCACCCACGTGGCAGTTTATAACCTGTGTAACTCCAGTTTGGGGCTATCCATCTCCCTCTTCTGGCCTCCCCCAGTATTGCACACATAGTATACAGATACATGCAGGCACATATCCATTCATATAAAATACGAAGAAATATATTTTCCAGAAATTTACCTAGGATGTTTCAGCAAACTCTAATAAACTTGCTGTACTATTTTTCATAAGGGGAAAAACTGGTAATTCTCTAACATGATAGATTTCACAGCACAGCACAAGGCTCTAGTTTCTTATGTGAAATATTTCTGCTTATATTTCCCTAAGAATAGGACATGCCCATTTCATGCATCTAATTGGCTCTTGTGAAGCCTCATAATGTACCTGGCATCATGTACAATGATTAGGATCTCATGCCACCAATGTTAAAAACAGCAGCAGCAGCAGCAACAGCCAAAATGAGCTTTTAATTTCCCACAAGCACAGGACTCGGTTCTCACATGGACAGTACCCCAACTTACATAGACAATCTGGTCAGTGAGATAAATGACCATTTGCAAAGTTATCTCTAGTCTTAGACTGTCTTTCTTTCTCTGCTTTTTTTCTTTTTCACTACATATCCCCTTATTTTCCTCAACTCTATTTCAACATTTTAATATTTTACAAACACACATTTCATTATCATAGTTTAATAATTAAAACCAGAACTGGTGTCGTGCCCAATTAATGTGCCCCGGTAGCATGCCCATTAGTTTTTCCATTAGTGAATTCAACAATACTAATGGGATTACTAGCATGGGATGCTAATTGGGTGTGACATAAGAAACTGGCTTACTTCTGAGCATACCCGTGCTAATGATGAAATTAATGAGCATTTTATTAAACGCTGTCTCATCAAAGTGTACTTAGTTAGCGTTAAAATTGTTACAAACGGTTCTGCATTTTAAAGATCAGGTGTCTGAGGAGAGGCTCTGCACATTTTGTTTGGCAGTAATCTGTGGCAGGGATAGCTCTCGCATCAGAACTCCTATTGACTGGATGGAGATCTGCTGAAGTGTCCTAGGCAGAGTGCACCAAACTTGTAGTAAGTCTTGAAGGAACTCTGCACAGCATTCTTTAACGAGGATGCCAATATCTGCATAGTAATAGTTCTACAGCCAGGCCTGGTGTTACACGTGGAAAACATCAGGCATAGCAGTAAGACTCTGTTCGGAATTATTTGCAAGTTTTATTTTCAAAGGTTCCTTGTCTTCAAAGACAGGATGTTCCTTGTCATTTCTGTGAACATCACTAAGTATAGAATACTGAAGGGACAAACTGGGTCAAACTGGGCAATCAAATATCATCTCATCAAGTCTACACAAAATTGGAGTAGCCAAATGAAGGACTGGAAAATTATAGCTATTTTAGAGACTCAATGAAACTATAGAAATTAAAGTTGCAATTAATTTCTTATGTTTGTCACCTTTTAAGCTTTATTTTCATGATTTTAAATTACGTGTAGATGTGTGTGTGTGTGAGCGAGAGAGAGAGAGAGAGAGAGAGAGAGAGAGAGAGAGAGAGAGAGAGAGAGAGAGAGAGATTGCAGCTGCCTGTGGCATCAGATCTCCCTGGAGTTGGAGTTATGAAGGTTGTTAGTCTCTCAATGCCTCTGCTGGGGCTTGAACTCACGTCCTCTGTAAGATCAGTGTGTGCTCTTAACTGCAGAACCCTCTCTCTCTATTCCTTGTTTTTATCTCTTAACAATGATTGTGGTGCTCAGTTCCTGACACACGCATGTCCAATTATAACTATCATTAAGAATCCTTTTTCTTCTTCCCAAATACCTATCCAGCAGAACATATTGGACACACAGGGGAGAAACTGAGGGTTAGGTGAATAGCCTCGCTCTGTGGGAGTTACAGCTGTGTAAGCAACTCATGTCTCGGGACTATTAAGACACTTTAAAACTTGAAGCATGCAATAAAATATAAAGTTATTTTGAACCTAGTGACTTCAAAATTCCTGCAAAACAGATAGGCATGGCGGCACACACCTCTAATCCCAGCACTTGGGAGGCAGAGGCAGGAGAATCTCTATGAGTTTGAGGCCAGCCTGGCCTACAAAGTGAGTTCCAGGACAGCTAGAATTGTTACACAGAGAAAGCATTCTTTGCTTTGAAAACCAAAACAAAGAATCAGCAAAAACAAAGTTCCTGGAAAATGTCCCTTTTGGGATTCAAAATTAAATTCTTGTGAATGGATTCAGGGACAGTCATTTAAAAGCCACCACCTCAGTTTATTCTGGAAAAAGTCAAAGCATCCAATAAACAAAGCCGGTAGGGACTAACAAGTCACAGAATCATTAAAAGTCAGAAATTTCACCTCAGAAAGTGGATGGTCTGATTTAACTATGGTAGAGTTTTAGTCACAATTATCTAACCCTTAACCAGATAATCTGTCAAGAGTGTTTATCATGCACCTATATTTTCCTAAGAATTGGGTTAGGGATAAAGCAGTCTCACTGGGTGACATTCCGATTAGAAAAAAACACATTAAGCACATAATTACCAGTGTGGTCGGAATGATACATAGTTCACTAGGCAACCTTGTCTTAATTTACAGAGAAAAGGAGAAAATGACTTAAAGTGATACACCAAGTACTTGAAACGCACATAATTATAATGCCACTGTCAGGTGCATAAAACGAATGTGTCTACTTCCTCAAATATGGGGTATCTCTAACCCTGCATGCAAATCTATATTCAGTTTTCTATCCCAGAGTGAGAACAAATAAGAGGAGACTGCCCAAATTTTTCTCTATTTGGCAGTTTCAGTGACTGTCTAAAAATAAGCAGGGCCTTCATTATGCCGGGAGCAGACACGTCCAGTTAGCCTGCATTAGGTATGAACCCCTTGGCGGGAGGTGAGGGCACAGCCCACACTAGCTGGTGCTCCCTGCTTCCCAGATTGCCTCCTGGCCCAACACCACTGATTACATCTTCTGAAGTACACCCCAGGCAAGCCTGCTCACGCAATACCTGACTTCTTCGAAAGTAAATGAGTTGTCAGTATGCCGAAAGCAGGCAGCTTTGCCTCATACAGGGGGGCGAGCATTCCAGACAGAAATGTGCTTACTTGGCACCACAGAGGCCCCCTTCCTGCCCCCAGCTCGACACGTTTGCAAGTGCAGTATTCAGTTGGTCTCTACCAACTCAGTATACGCTTAGGATCCAGCTATATGGGCAGGGGTGGAGCAGCTGGGAAAGCTGCTGGCAGGCAGGGTGAGCTCTGGTGAGAGAGGAGGGCAAGAGTAGCAGAAATGATGGGAAGTGTTCTCCGCCACTGTCACTTGCTCCTGTCTGTCTATCGGACGAGACTCCAGAGAGCTTCCTGGCAGCGTCAACGGGCTCACGACAGTGCTGTGGCTGAGTGGGGAGAGTCTTTGCTTGGCCCTGCTGTCCCCTGCCATGCAGTCTTCCAGGCCCACACACTTTTGAAAGACAGTAGGACTTACAGCAAAAGAGGCGGGGTGTCGACATCCGGATCTAGGGACAACAGGTCTTTAGTCTCCAAATGCTTAGCCTCCTACGTTTAGGGATGTGGGTATGTCCATGCACACATTTATTGAAGACTCTCACTTTGGGAGGGACATCAACAGTTCTTGGGAGTGGCATGCTGCACACTGTCCTTTCCCAGTCTGTGTTCCCAGAGCCTAACTCCAGAACCTCCAGTTCCTAAGGTTTTGGTGTGTGTGTGTGTGTGTGTGTGTGTGTGTGTGTGTGTGTGTGTGTGTGTTTGTTATATTCATGTGTGAGTATGGACACATGTACATTCAGCCACACTTGTAAAGACTATAGGTCAAAGTTTGGTATCATCTTCCTCTATTGTATCTACCTTGTATTTTGAGACAGGGTTGTAGTAAGAGTTCTAATAGGCCTTAATAATAAAATCGCAGAGTCTGATACAGGGTTAAATGCGTAAAGGTCAGAGAGATAAAGGAGCAGACCACAGTCATACCTTACCTCCTCAATTTCCCAGTCCAAAAGCGACTGAGTTCCTGTCTCCTCCTGCCTTACCACTTCCTCTCCCTGCCCAGCCAAATCTCTTCCTATCTGTGTGTACATACCTCCAGATCGCCACGGTTAACTAGTGGCTAGCTCTGCCCTCTGATCTTCAGGCTAGCTTTATTTGTCAAAGTGTCAACAAGATGTCAGTACACAGGGTCTCTCCCTGAAACCTGGAGTGCACAGACTTTGCGAGGGTGGCTGGCCAATGAACTTCAAGCATCCACTTGTCTCGATCTCCCCAGTGGCCTCCACCACACTGGCCTTTTATGTGTATGCAGGGGTCCAAAATCAAGTCCTTAATTTGCACAGCAAGTACTTCACTCCCGGGGTCATCTTCTTAGCCCTGTAAGTTCTTAACCAAGTTGTGCAGGAAAACAAAAAGAAAACTACATTTAACACCGCTTCTCTCACTTGGTACGAAACAGTTGGTCTAACTTAAGAAGAAAATCTTGGTGAGTTCAAGAATGAGCTGCAATCCCTATTGGGATTGTTGGTGATGGCGACACTATTATCCACTTAATTTCTATCTATCAGTATTCAATAAGATGGTGCAGTTCCAACAGGGGAGGCACAGCCAGTGGTCCTTGTCAGAAAGGCCACCTAATTCCCCAGCCAAGGATCTATCAAGAATAAGCTGCAATCCCTAAAGAGAGCCCCCCAGCCCTCCCCCATGTGAGAGCTCTGCCAGGTTAGTGCTGGAATGGCCAAGGCACTATCCCATCTGGCTTCGCAAATACCCCCAGAGAGAAACAGAGCATGGGGTGGGGGCAGAGGTCCGCTTTTACCCCCTCATTAATGCTCTCCCGACTTCTGAAGCTCACTTTCACTGTTCCCCTGTTTTACTTTTGCTATTGTGGTGATTAATTCATTTATTTATTCATTCATTCATTCGTTTTGTGAAATTTTACAACTGAGGGTTTGGTTTCTTTGTTCACTGTGTGTATCTGTGTGTTCCCTCAACTTTTGTTTAATGATCAATCTCTATCAATATGATGGAATTCCTGACACCCTCCTACACTAAGCAGGAACTTTAAAAATCTATTCTAGTCCCCAACACAGCTGGTTTTATTTGTTGACTTTTTATTTTTTATTTTGCTTTGCTATGGCGTTCACTTTGTCCTTACTTTGATACTCTTCCATTTCAAAGACTGTCTGTGCTGATAAAACCCATGACTAGTTATGCACTCTCATGCGACAATCAGGGTTCAGTTAAAGAGGTGATTTTATACTTCACCCTGGTTCTCTTTGGAGTAACTTAGACACTCTTCTCTTATGGCTCAGATGCCTTTGTGACACAATCTTCACATAGTTTCCAGACTGGCTGTATCTTATCCTATGTTTCTGAATATGTCCTCAGCATCCTTGTTTGCTGATCAAAAGAAGCACTGAAGGAATGCTAAACCATCCTGGAGACAGTTCTACTCTTCATGCTGCCTTTTGAGAGCAGGTAGCCTGGGATGATTTTGAACTCTTGGTCTTTCTCCTGCCTCAGTCTCTTTCCAAGTTACAGGACTGTCTGCCTCCCTGGCTTTAGACCTAGATTGCATGGTTTAAAAATTGGCCACTTAGTGGCTCAGAATGAACACCTGGAAAGGGGGACATAAGGGTTCCTACCTCATCTGTGTGTGTGTGAGTGGGTGTACGGAGCTCTCGGTAGAGAGAATGTATATCACAAAGCCGGGCACGGGGCAAAACCACAGAGTCTTGACTGGGATTCGCTGGGGTTTTTAAATAAATTTCTAATAGGTTTTCTATCAACACAGACACATTTAAGTGCTGTATTATTTTTATCTTGTAACTCCTTTTCTTGTTCTGGAACTTTCTCCAACATTATGTTCTTCTAATCTATGCCTCAAAGATACCTCTTCTCTAATTAATCTCCTTAAAGTTTTCAAAGGGAAAAAAATAATGTTTCAGTTCTGTAATTGCATCAGACTTAGTGTGCTGACTTCTGTCTATAGCTACCATCTGTCCTGCCTCCTGTGGCAGCTTAAGCTTCTCTCTCTCTCTCTCTCTCTATATATATATATATACACACACACACACATTGTTGGTGATGGTGACAGTATTATCCACTTAATTTCCTTAATTTCTATCTATCAACATCCAATAAGATGCTACAGTTCCAGCAGGGGAGGCACATTTGGTGATCCTTGTCAGAAAGGCCACCTAATTCCCCAGCCAAGGATCTATCACGCCACTTTGAAGACACTGAGAAAAAAAAAACCTTTTCTGCCACATCCTCAGGTCCCAGCTTTACAAAGCGAGATGCTCCCCACCTGCCTGTTCAGGAGCCTGGCAGGACCCTCAGACACATGTGATCCAAAGGGTCTGATTCTCCACCTCCACAAAGCTACCTGGTGTCCAAAACCCAGGTCTCTCCTCTAAGTCATTGGTTGTTTGACCACAGGTCTCCCCCTGAGGTTACCACGTATCAGAGCTCAGGTTCTCCCCACAAAGCCACCTGGTGCCTGAGCCCCAGGTCTCCCTTCAAGGTGACTGGGTGTCCAGGCCCCATTTCTTCATACCAGGTCACTGGGTGTTCAGGTTCTAAGAGTCTGAAACCTTCACCCATGGCTCTCAGTCCAGGGTCCTAATTACAGCTTCGTGTTGAGCATTCTTCCCACCAGCCACTTGGGTCCCGCTGCTGTCTCAGTCCCCAAGTAACACACGGAGACTCTATTAGTTACAATGTGGTCGGCCAATGTGCAGGGCTTCTCATTGGCTGGTTCTGTCTTAAGTATTAACCCATGAGACTACTAATATATAATTCTATAAGGACTTATCTTTCCAAGAACACCCTCCTGATGCATCCTCTCCTCCCAGGAGATCACATGATGACCCTCTCTCTTGACTACATTTCCCACAATTCTTCTTGAATCCTAGTCCCTCCTATCTTACTTCCCTATTGGCGAACAGTGCTTTATTCATCAACAAATAAGAAAGACAGATTTACAGAATGACATCTCCCATCACAGCTTGGACATGGAGGGGAAAATCCCCACAGGTTTTGACAATATCACACAAGTTGTCCATGTAGATGCACTTTTTATGACTTTAGCCATGGGTTAGAGGGAAGACTTGAACAAATGGAAAGTAAAATATCGTATTCTATCTCTCACAGGCCAGATATGTCAAATGGTGGCCAGGACTCCCTAACTGACAAGAAGACATCCTTCCAGTGATTTTTCTCAAAGTGCTATAAACAAAGAACCTGAGGGAGAGGACTCTTCCATGGAGCAGCCTGCAACCTGGGCAGAGACATCCCACAGATGTGGCATTTGTAAATCGTGTCCCATGCTCAGAGAGAAAGACACAGCTGGCTGAAAGTCATCCATACTCCTTTAAGCCTTTAAGTAACCTCCAGAAACTCATTGGTTCACCCAGCCCAACTCGCTGCGTCATTTCTTAAGTCTACCAGTGGTGTCCTATCTGGGCAAACAGACATTTGCTCACTTCTTCCAAGAAAAGTCTCTCTCTCTCTCTCTCTCTCTCTCTCTCTCTCTCTCTCTCTCTCTCTCTCTCTCTCACTCACTCACACACACACACATACACACACTAATTCAGTATTGTGTTTGCTAAGACTGACAACTCAGGCCTAAAAACATTCCATTTTATGCTCATGTGATCTCAAACATTGTTTTCTAAATACTCATAAAGGAGTTTAAATTAATTATTTTACTACATACTTCCTAGGTTGCTACTCAGGGTTATAACCGTATTTAACTTTAAAACACTTGGTGTATGAAACATGAAGTTAAACAGTACTTAAAAGCTACTTAAATATTTGCTGGTGAAATATTTAAGATTGAAAGACAAAAAGGAGAAAGAGAGGCAGACATAAGAGAGAACAAAATCATTATTTGTTCTCTGAAGAAAAGGTAAATCTGTTCAGATTCATTGATTTATTTTGTGGCAAGATCCCATCTGTTCCCCAGGTTGGCCTGGAATTCACTATGCACAGAGGCTAGCCTCCAAGCCCCAGCTTCCGAAGTACAGGGTTCCAGTCATACGCCACCACACCCACCTATCCATTTTAAATTATCACATGGTAGTTCACTAATTTTCAGCACATAGCTTCGTCAAATAGACTGGGTTGGGGGAAAGCGCTGTTATCTTGACTGTGGGGACTCATTTCCTTTTTGTAATTTTCATTTTCCTTACCTGTAGGGGATGTATATCAGTGGTTCTCAGCCTGTGGGTTGCAACCCTTCTAGGGGGCACCTGCACATCAGATACTTACATGACTATTCACAACAGTATCAAAGTTACAGTTGTCAAGTAGCAGGGACATCATATTATGGTTGGGGGTCACCATGACATGAAGAACTGTGACAAAGGGTCACAGCATTGGAAAGATTGAGAACCACTGATGTAGAAAATAACAAAACAAACCAAATCAAAAACAAAACTCTGCTGCACACCTCTCCAGGTTCAGATGAAGATTCTCCATAAACATCTGCGTACTTACCCCAGTACCTGGTACCCACCTGGCAGCCTAACAAATGTTAACCACCATGGCTAGTAATTTACCTGGGGATTGGAAAGAAAATATGGATGGCCATTCTTCAGCTGAAGGGCAAAATACTCTTTCTGGCTGTCAGGGTAAACTGCGAGGATGATCAGACCTTCAGGCATCCTTGTCCGGAAGCTGGCCTTGATGCCTAGAGATGCAGGTGGCATTGGTTAGTCACGGCTGTAGTTTTGTTGATTCTTTCTGATAAATGTACATTTACTTTCATTATTATTTATGATGCAGTGAATACAGTCAGGAGATTATACACAGCAATTTTCTGGGATAGGCCCAGTCAATGGGTTTAAATATATCTCGTGTTAAAGGCTAAGTAGCACTTGGACATTTTGTTTCCCTCATGTTAATCAATATAAAACAAGGTTTAAATATGTGCAAAAAAAATGCAGTCACCTGAAAAGACATGACATGTCAAACCCAAAATTGGATACTTAATAATATCAGTTTGCAGGTATTATCAGAGGGTCCTAAAAGTAAATGACTTCTTGACATAAATGAAAACCTCAAAAGGCTTTGTTTAAAAACCTATGAAAATGGAAGAATCAATTCAGTAATAGATGCTAAGACAAAACACCTGGATGAGCTGGCCTCTTGGAGATGACTGAGTCAGCAAATGGTGGTAGCTTTCAAGATTGCAGCCTTCACAGACCCTTCAGACCACACACACCATTCACTACTCTTATCTCACAGGAATTTCCAGCTCAGGGGATGGGGGCAGTTTGCAATGTTTCTCTCACACACACACTGCTAGGACCCATCAGCCCCGTCTCCAGCCTTGGAATCCCACCGATACAGCACATATGTGGAGAATGTCCTGTGCAGGGGGTGCCTAGCTTAAGGTGCTGAAGCTGGCAGTCAAGTCTAAGTACCACAGTGCCTGCTCTGAGACTTCCCAGTCTCACTGGAAATGTAAAATTAACAGAGCAGACTGTGAGAATAAAGAGATCAACAACACACCTGAAAATCAAACAAAAGCTAAAACGCAAATAATAAATAATGAATGGATTCTGATTTGAGCAGTAATACACAATAGGCTAGGATTAGAAATACTTGAAAAAAATCTCTCCTTAGGCTGGGCTAATAACTGAAGGGCCTATGGGGGTGGGTAAACTTCACTCTGTTGCTGTGACAAACACTAAACGCTGCGGCCAAAAGCAACTTAAGTGAGTGTGTTGTAGGGGAGGGTTGGGCATGTTTTGAACTTACGTGTTGTAAATACATTATTGAAGGAAGTCAATATTGAGTAGTAGCAACTCAAGCAGGAGCAGGGGCTTAGAGCAGAAACAATGGAGGAGCTGGTTTTTGGCTCTCTCCCAGGCTCATGGGAGGCTAGCTTTCTTCTACAGCCCAGGACCACCTGCTCAGGGATTGGTGCCACCCACAGTGAGCTGGCTCCTCTGCCATCAATTAGCAATCAAGGCCATCTTGTCTACCTTGTCCGGTTAATGTTCACAGACCCATGTGATCTGGCAAGTCCCTCCATGGAGACACTCTTCTCAGGCGTCTCTGCATACTCTAGACTGTGTCAAGTTGGCTGAGCTTTGGTTCAGTGTTAACTGTCTCGGAAGTCATGTCTGGTCCATCTTCTCAGCTCCATTCTCTACCATAGGGCATAGATGTATTTCATAAATATACTGAGATTTTAGGTAAAGAGAATTCAGATGGGAGGTTCAGCCTGACCATTAGGTTTTGATCTTCTCTTTTGCTCTCAAATGCTATGACTAAAATGATGGCTTTCAAGCTAAATAACTCAAGGGCAATGGATAAAAACAGCTGTAATTCGAGACGCGAAGGGTATGCTGTTCTCTACTGATGGGCAGGATGGCATCTCCAGTGTGACTGCAGAGATGATGGGAGTCAGGGTTTGAGTGGTTGAAGAGGGAAACAGTTATTGAACCTGAGTATACTATTGTTTATAATTTGAGACATCTGGGAAATGAAAAATAGCCAAGATTATGGGAATATTAAAATGTTTTAAGAAGCACTTGCAAATATTTTAATTTTTACACACCTCCCAAAGTGTACAAATGCACGTGTTTATCAAAACATAATAATTTGCAAGCCTTCTAAAACAAAGAGGTGCCTTTTAGGCCAACAAATATATAAAGCTGTATACAGAGGAAAGTATCTGCCATGAACAGAAGATGCAGTATAAGAAAGAGTGTCTTGATTTAATGGTGTCAGCTACTCTCTCTCAATCTTTACATCTTTTTTTCCTCAATGTTACCAATATAAATAGATATTCTTTCTTCTAGACTCTAGGAGGAAAATGAAAACTTACAATTTTATTGAAGCATAATCTTAATAATTAGATTACTACAACTATCCATACAGGCAAGTCCTAGCATTTGAGCCACATGTTTGCTTCGTATAATCAATTATTTAAATGAACTAAACTCAACAAATAAATATATGTAAATATAAACATAATAATAGTTTGATGGATGTATGAAATAAGGAAAATGTTATTGAATTTACAATGAGATAGAATGTTTAAATGCACAATTATTCAAAATAATTAACACCCTCTTTTCCCCAAAGAGAGCCACATATTTACAAATTCCCAAGTACTGACTTAGGCTCAGTCATGTGACTTTCATTGGCCAAAGGAATGAAAGCAGATATGAGGCCTCTTGTCGGGGCAGAGCCTGCCCATGCCTCACTCCCCTCTGATTCACACATGTTTCCATCTTGGGTCCAAGAGAAGGAAAACTTGTGGACCACAGCCAAAAAAGTATCCCAACAGCTTTATTGTAGACAATTGTATGAAGCTGCCCTACTGACTCAGACAGGCAGCAGAGTGAACAGCACCTTCCTGCTTCATAAAGGGAGATCTGCATTTTTCAAAGGCAAGACAAAGAAAATATGAGCTAAATTACACCATCTATATCTAGGGGTAAGAGAAATAGTAGAGTGCTGGTGTTGTCTCTAAATTTATGCATTCATTTGGAAAATATTTCAGGAAACAAAATTCAGTGGACACTGTTCTAGGCTAGTAGGACAAATGTTGGCAAATATGTTCAGTGATTATGTATATATAGGTATATTTGAGTATATATATGTATGTATATATGTGTGTGTATATACAATATAATAAAGAAAATACATGAGATAAAACACAGTATGTATAAGACTACACAAATGCCAAATTCATAAGCAAACATATGGAGTATAAATTCCAGCTCAGATGAGGGCTAACAGTACACTGTCTGTGGATACAAGGGTAGACATTTAGAATGCAGTCAGAAATTATTCTGCCTAAGGAATGTGGCAACAGTAGGTTATTCTCAAGGGTCCATGACCTCACCAACCACAGGTGTTGGCTAGGTTTGCAGTGCCAAGCATGGATTTCCTCTTAATAAGGGGGCAGGCTTAAGTTCATTTAGATGGCTATGGGTTACCCCTGTAGGGAGTCCACCACTAGTTAATCATCTATAACCCAACCCTGCACCTTTGGAAACATCACAGAAGAAGGAACAGAAAGATCGTAGGTACCAGAGGACAAGGATGTTTGCTATGAAATATTGTCTTCCAAGCATGCCAGGGAGCTGCACTCATGAAATCTTAATAAGAAACACGTACAATCTCAGTACCAGTGGAGATTCTAATATGCGTCATGTATGGGAAAATCTCACAAGGCCCCACTCCTAGACGAAGAACTGCTAAGAGCGTCAAATCCCAGGGATCAGCTTTAAACACATATAAATACTAGCAACACCAAGTGGACTCAGCAGGATGTATGTGTAAGTGTGTAACAATGATTGAGGAAGAAGAGACCATGAAGTTAAATGGGAGAGAACATGAGAGGAACTGGAGGGGAAAGGAAGTGTGAAAATTACATATTCAAAAATGTTACAGTTTTAAAATTTAAAAGAATTTAAGGTTAGAGATAACTCGATAAACATGTCCATATTCTATAATATACAAGTAAATAATTTCTAGAGAAAGAGCTCTACCCCCAAATAAGTGTTGCAACTCTGAACAACTATTTGGAAATGGTCATGGGGTCATTCATGGAGCTTAAAACATACTTATTTTTCAGATAGAATCTTGTGCTAGAACACAGGCTGGACTTGATCTTGCAACCTCCCTGCCCCAGGTTTGTGAATACTGCTAGGATTACAGGCATCAGTCACCCTGTAGGAATACATTCATTCTTTCTGATTTAGCCATTAGATTCCTTATTACACACACCATCTCAAAATACATAGTTTCAGAAGATACACAAATATGATAGGAATCCTTCCTGCTCCCACTCGGCTGGACCACATAAAATACCAACACTACAGAAAAGACAGCTCTATCTGCTACGGCCACATTCAAGTGCATGTGCCAATCTCATATATGTAATACTGTTCAAGGGATGGTCAGCATAGAGTGGAAAATTGTCTGTAAGGACCCATTTATACAAATTCTGAAGCCAGAGAAAAGCAATATCTATGTCTTGAGAAGTCAGGACACAAGGATTCTGAGACTTCCGGACCTGGGGCTGGGCTTCTAGAGGCCAAGCAGGGTTCCATTTGATCTGAGTGCTGGATGTAAAGAGTCGTTGTTATCTGGAAATAATCTATACCATGCTTGTGGTAGTTTTAATTGGTATGGCCCCCACAGAACTCATATGTTTGAATGCTTGACCATAGACAGTGACACTACTAGGAAGTGTGGCCTTGTTGGAGAAAGTGTATGATGTGGGGGAGGGCTTTGACGTCTTACCTGTTCAAGCTACACACAGTGTGGTAGACAGTTCATTTCCTGTTGCCTGTGGATCAAGATGTAGAACTCCTAACTCCTTCTCCAGTACCATGCCTGTCTGCATGCTGCCGTGTTCCACCATGATGATAATAATGGACTAAACCTCTGAAACCATGAGCCACCCCAATTAAATGTTCCTAATAGTTGAGGTGGTCATAATGTCTCTTCACAGAAACAGAAAGCCTAACTAAGATAATGCTCATTTCCTCACATTTCTATATGTTATACATTAGGAAATTTAACCAAAAACAAATACTGAATAGTTTTACAAGTTTAAACGCTACAGAAACTGCAGATCAAAGACCTCAACATAAATCCAGCCACAATGAACCTCTTAGAAGAGAAATTGGGAGGTACCCTTGAAGGAATTGGTACAGGAGA